TTTAAAGCGCTTTTAAAAATGAACAAGATATTTGCATCGTGTCTCTTTGCCACCCTCGAAGAAACAGCTCCCACCTTTGTCTTCTGGAATCATTTAGATTTAACGCGGTCTGGTAACCTACACTACAACGGGCTGAGCCACTTGCAACTTTTTCTGCCTCTTGTTAATTTTCTTTCATTTGCTGCTCTCCCTCTTTTCTTTCTCTCATTTTCATCCTCTCGTAGTTTTTTTCCTCCTTCTCCTTGTTCTTATCGGCTTCTCTTTCTCCATGTGCATCTCCTCTTATTTATGTTCCATGTTTCCCATATCATCGTATGTTAACTTATTTTCCTCCTTCTCCTCTGCTTTCTTCTTCTTATTCTGAAGTGTACAGTTTACGATCTGAATGGGATAGTCCTGTGCAAAATGCAGCGTTCGTAATACATCTATGTAATTCTTAATTGAAGGGAAATGCATATGGCGTACACTGTTTGTATTATTGATAAATTCTGAGAAAAAGCGAGTTTCGCATTATGCGGGTAACTGATTCCATCAGTAAACAGGCCTTTTGAAATTCCATTTAATGAATTTGGGAAGTACTGCCTCTTAATATCAGGGATTTTTCCAACTTACGCCTGGAAATTACACCGAAATTTCTTCTCATTACAAACACCATTAGCACAAGTCCATAAGCCTGCTGTTGACTACTCTTAGTTAACTGCCCTCAGAGAATCATTTCCTCGTCCACATTTTGCCCTGTGGCTCTACAGCCCTTTGGAACTTTGCTGCTTTTTCAGTTTCTTATACTATAAACAGTCGGCAGTACTCCTTGGGCTGGGAATCAGTCTATCACAAGGCTGCTAGTTAATATACACGACACAAACACAGAATAAACCCACGCTGACATCCATGCCTCGAGAGGGATAAGAACCCACGATCCCAGTGTTCCAGATGGCGAACACTGTTCATGCCTTAAACCGCGCGGCCACTGTGATCGGCTCTCGTCTATTTAGCCTAGAGAAATTCATCCTTCCACACTCCAGTATTGCGAGTATTATACTCCAGTATAATGCTACCTGACAAGATATGAAATTGGCCGTGTATAGGCCCTATCCAGTGGTCTCAGGGGGTCCAGCACAGATAGTATCGGAAGGGATTGGCCGCAGATAGCAATTGCTTTTAATGGGATTAATTTATTTTACACATATTTCCCTGTCATACAGGAAAGAGCACATATACATACAAACTACATCGTATTTATTCATCAAAAAGAGGCAGAAAATCAGCCGTCCATATTTGATTGTCGTAAAGAGGCTGTTTTGATGTAGACTGATCTATCTCTCTCTCTCATCCGAACGACAAAGCACTGTCACCATGTGACGCCAGGTGAAATTTAATATCCGCCCACCCCTTCAACTCACCCCAGAGTTCCTTCCTTGCACCCCTTTTTGCTTCCTTCCTCGTACAGCACTTTCTTCTCTCCCAGCCCCTCGAGCGCCTCTGAAGCACAAGTGTTGCCGGTACAACTACAGAGCAGTAGCCTGGGCTCTATTCATTTCACGTCAAGCCTCATGCGCCAGTTTAGAAGCACATTTCGACTTTTGACAAATGGAGTCATGGACTCTAACTCAGTATCCAGTTGTAGCTCTCCGCCTCTCTTTTATAAGAACGAATATTTCCCTTCTTTGTTCTTCACTACAACGAACCACCCCAGATATTTTTTAAAGAGAAGATAAGTGATGGCTTAAAGAGTCAAAAGATTAAAAAAAGGAGGTGAAATGTGGTGTTTATAAAATATGAGTGACACACAATGAAATAAATTAGTGAAATAAATACAAACGTTTTCTGCATTTGCACGTTGCTTTCAAACATGACTAAGAAAATTCACGTTTCAAACAATTATACCTTTGGTATGTTACAGAAGACACGTCTTCATGTTTTATTGTTCCGCTACAGGCGAAATTAGGAGACAAGCTAAATTCCTCAGAATCAGTTTTCGTGTACTGAAGTAAGATGGATCTAAGCACATGTCTTAATTCACGAAAGGATACTTAAGTATTGAGAATAGTTTCATTTTGCCGAAGCTCCTGATGGTGAGCTGCCTGTAACTGATCGGCAATAAATGAAGTTTCAGAAATGAACAGTTATTTATATCTTTCCATATCTCTCCTCTAACAAATGCAGGGTGTAACTGAAAGAAGCGAACAAACTTTCGACATGAGTTCCGCACAACAAGACAAGAAAAAAAATGTTCATATCAACATGTGTCTGGAAATATTTAATTTTTTAGTTACAGCAGAAAGAGTACATACATAATAAGTATTCAAAATGTACTCCATGAATCCCAATGCACACCTCGACACGTCTCATCATGGACCGCCGCATCCATTGCGGATAATCTGACAGGCATTCGCACAATGTGACGGAGAAGTGCCTCTTCGTTGTCAATAGAAGCTGAATACACAGGGGTCTTTACGTGTCCCCACAGACAAATATTCAGAGGATTGAAGTCTGGTGAGCGTGGAGGCCACGCAGTGTATCCTTCTCTACCTATTCATCAGTCATGACAGGTGTTACTGGGAACATCTCGCAAGCACGGCTAAAATCATACATGTACAAGTATTCTTACGGCTATAACTCACAAATGAAATGTTTCAGGACATGTGTATGTTGTTGAACAGCTTTTGTTTTGGTATGTGGATCTCATGCATAAAGTCTGCTCGCACAGTTCAGTTAAATCCTCTATATTTTTTCTATGCTTACTGCCTTTAGTTTCAATATTCAGTTCTACTGCACAGGTTTCAGTGAGGGGCATGGGTTATACATATATCTAGTATCTACAATAAATATATATAAAATAACACATCATTATGTCAGGATATTGGCTAGCTATGGGCTGGACTGGGGTTGAATCCTCGGTAGGGATTGTTCACCAGTGTGCCCAGACCAGTCCACCCAGCCTCATATGCAATAGTTAGGGGAAGCTCTTTTACAGTGAGCAAAGCTGTCGAAGTTAAAGTAACACTCACGTCAGTATACTGCCGAAGCTACAGATTAGTGGACCTATCAGTGGATTATCAGTTGTTAACTTTATATTCTAATAATGCAGGTCTGCTGCATGCTCATCTATGATAAATAGATCTATATTTCATTTCAGAGAGACCTCAAGCGCATCTCGAGTTGGAATTTCAGTGCAGTTGCCGTTACTACTACTACTACTACTACTACTATTACTATTACTAATATTACTACTATCTTTAACTTATATTTCCATTAGCAAGCGCAACTTATGATATTCCTGGTGTGGTGTACTTATGCGTTCGTTATGTGTTTGAGCACCATGGCTGAGACTCTTTTGGCCACTTATTAAGCTGGGATCTCTAAGAGTTTACTCTAGTTACTTCGTATAGTTACCACTTGCAGATTTGCATTTCGAAGCTGACACACAAATGCATCAACATCTCAAGCTAAAACAAATGCAAGAGTACGACAACTCACATTGAGACTGAGCGTAAGAGACACATTACTTTAATGGATAATTATAAATAAAGTAATAAGTTTTATGATACTAGTTAGTGATTAGCATACGAGACCAACAGATTACCCTAAATCGCTGCTATGAAATCCATTGACCTACAAATTGAAACAGATCCAAGTTCTCATGATATGCGTATCTGACAGAACATAACGTGACAGTGTTGTAACAGACATCCAGGAAACATACTGAGACAAGCAATGAGATATTATTTTACATGATATTATTTTGATGAGATATTCTTGCAGACAATTACATGTGTTGTTCTGTGGTTACAGAAAATGGGTTGCCTCGAAGACTCCGGACTGCATACACAAACACTCAATTGCTGGAGCTGGAGAAGGAGTTTCACTTCAACAAGTACCTCTGTCGACCACGACGAATCGAAATAGCAGCATCGTTGGACCTCACCGAGCGACAAGTTAAAGTGTGGTTCCAGAACCGCCGGATGAAACATAAGCGTCAAACACTGAGCAAGTCTGGTGAAGACGGTGACAGTAAAGACTCTCCTTCAGGAGGCGGTAGTAAGGGAAGCAGTAAGTCCGACAAAAGCATCTTGCTTCTACAAGACGAGAATAGCAAGGGTTGTCAGAACTGTGACCTACAATCAGGGGGCGGAAACACAGGTGGCAGTGGTATTGGTGACCATACTTCAAACAGAGGGAACAACAATAATACGGCAGGTGTTGCCAACAACAATACGAGTTTCAATAACAATAACAGCAATGCCAGTAGTGGTGCAAGCAGTGTCGCTAGCAGCATCAGTAGTTCCTTCGAGAAGATGGTCACTGAGGAAGACTCGAGATCTAATGAAAGTAGCGGCATTCTGTCAACACCAGGACTGGTGGTCAAGAAACTCGGTGGGAGTGAAGTGCTTGTCAAAGTGGAGGCTGAGAACAAAAGTCCACCCCTCTTATCTCTAGTAACGAAGAAAGAACCAGGGGGTAAGGAAGTATCAGCAGCCAACAGTGTTATGGGTGGGGGAACACAGAGTGGTAATGGAAGTTGCGGTAGTTCTAGTGGGAGTGCAGGATTGTTATCTCTTCCGGACGCGTCTCAACAACAACAACAGAGTGTATGTCCTGTCGCGGTGCCTCCTTCAGGCAGCCTCACACCCTCGTCAACACCTGGGACGCCACTCCAACAACAATCAAGTCCTCTGGGCAGTATTCAACAGCCACCACCTTGCAACAGTAGCAGCTCGAACACCGGCGTCATGATGGTAGGTAACAGCGCGATGTTTCCTCAGAGATCCAGGAGTTCTCCGACTACGACATCGACAACAATAGCTACAGCGACCGCTACAGCTTCCGTTACAGCTGTTCTTCAGCACCACTCGAGTCCCAGTAACACATCATCGGGTTCGATGCCACCACTAATACAAATCGTCAGAGGAGCGACACCGTCCTCGGGCGGGGCGTTCCCACACCACAACAACCAGCTACCCGACTACCGTCACTCGGGGCCTCCGAACCGAGCAGACTTCAGGCGTCAACAAGGAGTCACCACAGGCACAACAGTACAACAGAGTGGCTGCTACAGCCCAAGGGACATATTTCAGCAGCAGCGTTTGATGTACCCTCCTACCCCAGACTCTGTACCGTACATGCGGCAGCACCAGAACCCACATCATTCTTCTATTACACCACCATCCTCTCGCCTGAACGGATTGCATGCTCCTGTTACAACTCCGAGAACAACGTCTATCCCTCAGAACCACCCCAGAGGATATCACCATCAGACTGCAACCCAGCAATATCACCACCAACAATCCTCAACATATTGCCCACCTACGAGCTACAACGGATTTCATCAGGCACAAAATCATCAACCTCCCGACCACCCAGCCTATCACCCACCAACATCATACCAACATCGCAACCTCAATAATCATCACCCGTACAATCAAGGACAGCCTTACACGACTGACCATGATCCATACCTCCCAGGATCGTCGTCCACGAATTACTCCGGATATCCAAGTGGCATGTACACGGGAAGTACACCCGAAAACATGCATCATCCGACTCATCAACATATGGGCGGCACTGGACAGCACCAGCAGATGCATGGTGATCCGGCTGTATATTATGCAGACGGAATGCAGCATCCGCAAAGCACCTTCGGACCACAGCACACACCTCATCACATGGATACAGAATATGGGACATCGCATGGTGCATCGAACAAAACACACAATCAAAGCCATTCTTATTATGATCAGGCGAACCAACATCACCATCATCAGCATCATCACATGATGCATCAAGGTGGAGATGCGTCGAACATTCCCAACAACTATGTGTCGTCCCCAGACCCGTTCCCTCTGAACAGTGGAGGAGGAACGCCTACTCCGGGCGGAACAGGTGTTACCACCACAGCGACAGCGATAGCAGCGGCAACTGCAGCTGTCATGACGCCACCCACGAATGTGCAGACGGACTCTGCAGACAACTTTAACAATTTTCACCACTTCTACAGCGAGCCCCATCATACACATCCAACTGTGCACCAGAACAATCCTGCTTCAGCAGAGAACAGCAACAGTTCCTCGGATTTCAATTTTTTGAGTAATCTGGCGAACGATTTTGCACCGGAATATTATCAGCTCAGCTGAAAGCTGTAATCATTGAAGTCTCCACAGAAACGGAAGGAATTACGTTTACTATAACTGATGATAAATTAAAATTAGAACACAATTTTTAAAATTAATCTTACATGACTGATTTCGAAAGATCACATATTGCACTAAAGCAAATTGTAGCATTATAGACTTCTTTCGGTGTCTTTTAGGAAGGCTTCCTTTCATGTGCATTAAAACGATATCATCTCTAAGAATGATACGATTTTTAAAAGTATCCGAGGAAGTCTGTTGACTTTAATTGACTGAACTGAAGTCTCAGATTGAATTGAAGTATCATAGATTTGATAACAAACAAAAAAATATATAATAACTAGATGCTACTGAATGCACAAAAATAAAAATCAAACGGCAATAATAGTTCAGTGCGATGTTAGTTTGTTTCTCTGGCTTGGTTACATTGTCTATTTTTTTTAAATGAGTGGGTGGAAGAAGTAACGGTTAGTGAAGAGCATTGCGCAGTATAATAACGTGAAAAATTATGTCTCTGGGGTTTTTAAAATTAATTTTATATTGATAACTAAATGCCATAAAAGATATCGTGTGATTAAAATGTGAGGAAGAGTCACAGAGAGAGATACTATGTGCAATTTTGTTTCACGCTGTTTGAGCAAAGCTCACGTGGCCATGACAAATACAAGGACTAACTGATGTTCAAAATTATATATGTACAAATATATGAACAAAACAGAAATTAAGGTTACGTGACAAGAAGGTTATTGCAAGGCAGAAACTCAACAATTTTGTCCTTAATGCTATTATTAGATAGATATTCCTATTATTAGAACAAAAACTATGTTATTGTTGTTCCTTTGTTGTTTGGTGTAAATAATCTAATACTGATTCTTATCATTTACTAATGACTATTATTATTCAAAACAATTATGTACAGATCATATCCTTTACTTCAACGTAATGGATTAGAGCAAATAAAACATAAGTTATAAGATTTTAGTTTCCTGAGAAAAGATCAGGTGTCGGTGGAAGTGTTTCCTTACTCCCCAACGACAGAAATTTCTTCTTGAATTTTCAAATATAATTTCGATCTATAGTTGGATTTTGAAAACTTAGAAATTTTTTAAATTTCGGAACTTTAAAAAGACGTTTGTTTAGATTCTTAATCCCTGCAGTCAATTTCTGTTGGAGAAATTATCAAGTTTCTTTCGCCAGAATTTAACAGGCCTACCAACCTCACATAGGCCCCATAAGCAGCTGATTCTGGTGCGATTATAATCCAGTCACGAAGAGAGTTGTAGCACAGAAAGTAAAAGTTTTGAAATCTGAAGTTCTACATGCAGAATACTGTTTTCAGGGATGGTACACCATGTAGTCCGTAAAACTGTTCCAACTTTTCGGAGAAAATTATAGTTTCCATTTTCAGGGTCTCAGAATAAGCAGAGTAAGCAGGGAGCAAACAAAGGTTATGTTCCTTCTCTTCATATTAGCCCCGTAATGCAGTAGCATCAGTTAGAAGGGTAAAGTGATCGTAGAAACCAAACAATCAATCAGTCGATAAGAAATGACATTTTTGATCCCGTAATAAACTCATGATCGCAAAATAAAAATATGTTTCGTGCATATCGGATCCATTTGGTAATGAATATAACCTACTTGTCAATTTTTTTTGTTTGCATGAACCCTTCTGGGCAGACGGTAAACCAGCATCTCAAAGACGAATAAAACAGCCTCTCATATAATTTATAATTCATATAACTCTCCTAGGGAGCCGGGATAGAGATTTGTTACGGGCTGAACGATGAGGGACGAGTTCGTATCCCGGTAGGGTCAACAATTTTCTCTTCTTCATGTCGTCCAGACCGGCTCTGGGGTCCAGCCAATCTCCTATCCAATGGGCATGAATGGCTGTTTCGCCGGGGGTAAAGCTGTAGGGTGCTGAAGCTGACCACTCGCCTCCAATTAGCGCCGAGGTCAAAAGATAAGTGAATTTATACACCCACTCCCCCATACGCCTTCATGGCATTTTACTTAATTAGTTAATCACAGGGATAACTTTACCTTTTATGTCTCCCTTATTAGCCAACTGTCGTTGGAAGAACGATATGAGTTCTTCAAATTTAAATATCAGAAGTACACACACATTCAGAATCTGCAATAGTTTCTTTCTCAGAAAATCAGCATTCATCTAAAATAATGGTCGCTTTAATTCTTATGAGAGTAGAATTGAAATGTTTGAATGAAATCGCTAAATTGTACGGCAATGAACTTTCGGGTTCCGTAAAATGTTGGGAAGCCCTCCGGTAGCTGCACAACTGGCGGCTTCCCGAGAAGGGCTCAGCTCCATTAAGTTAGTTAGTCGCTAAATTCTAACTCTTAAACATAGTAACACACGTAAGAAAAGGCAAGTGCAATTTGTTCGCGGAATACGTATCTTAGTGCAGTAGTCAGACTGTGCGACGCGACCTCTGCTGACGCATCAGCGATCTAGCACTGGCGCTGTCGGTATTGACTTGACCATGACATTACTGTCTTCACATTCGTGGATTTTTTCATTTACTTACTTCCCCAGATTCCCAGTCTTCATCCTCGTTCTCAACAGATCACAAAACCTCCAACTGTTTCTTCCCCCCCTTCCAGAAGCATCGCAGTCAAATCTCTCTCTCTTGCCAACCGGGGAAACTTCCCCTAGAGATATGCAACCAGCCAGCCGACTTGTAACCACGGCAACTATCTCCATCCTTGTTTCTCTCATAGCTGCCGCCTATATCCTCCATCTCTCCCTAATCATTTACATAATGGGCCGCCCATCGATCAGCCAATAAAATAGCTGCTGCAATGCTGTGGCGGGAAATGTGGCATCACCATGGTGACGGCAGATGAAGTCAAGTTGAAGACTGAGAAGTGGAGTGAACAGACAGCAGCTGAACTCCACGCCGCAAAAATAATCTCGCACTCCGGATCTAGTGTTAGTTCTCACATAACATAAAATTATTTTTCGCCAGAATGAGTCCAGCATTCGTTGCCATGTCTTAGTCCAGGTGATAGCATTAAGCAAATTTGGAGATTTGGAGAGAGTGGTTTCTCGAGAATTCACGAATGCACAGAGATTAGAAAGTGGAACTAGCATATCCAACGGCTTCTTCTCGTAATGGGTTGAAGGAAGTCTATAAAATGTCAACATGGATATCCAGACAAGACTGAAGTTTGAAATAGGATGCAACGCCAGCAGACGCAAGAGAAATCACAATCATTTGAAGCAAAGAAAATGGTGTTCTTTAGGTATAAATTTTCTGAAAGACTTAGAGACCTGCCACAGTTTAAGTAAGGAGCTCGGTAAGTGGCCGCGCCATAGCTCAATCTGTTAGTCGCTGGCTTCCCACCGCGACGGCCCGGGTACGATCTCGGGTCTGGTCAAGTGGGATTTATGGTGGACAAATTGGCGCTGGGGAAGGTTTTCTCCGAGTACTTCGGTTTACCCTGCCAATCTTCATTCCATCAAATTCTCCATTATCACAATTACCCGGGGCAGACTACGACAGGCCAATCAGTGGCCGCCGTGCCGAGTGGACCCAGCATGACTTCACCCCCCACTAAGCGAATTTTAATTTAAGGAGCTCCGGTTAGAACCCACACAACTAACTTTCCTGATGCACAGTCTTTAGTCGTACAAACTTTATCCTGCTAATATCGTACTCTTATTTAGGTACAGTACAAGGTAGCAGATGGCCATGCTATCAAAATCTAGTTGAGCCGGCGTTTAATTGATGGTATGCAGTTATTGATATGTTACAGATGATGATAGTCAGTTCCTTTATTTGCTTGCCAACAGCGAGTGGCCTATAACAGACGAACGCTTAAAGTACACATAAAAAATCTAGACTAAGACTATAGCTAGTACTAGAACTAGACTAAAAATTAATACTAGGTAATAAATAATAATAATAATAATAATAATAATAACTAGCAATAGTAGTCGTAGTACTTATTCACTCACTCATAGGGCTGAGACCTTCTTGAGAAGCCGCCAATTGTGCAGCTACTCAAAAACTTCTCAGCATTATATGGAACCCGAAGGTTCATTACCATATTCACAAGAATCCTCCACTGGTCCCTATCTTGAGCCAGATCAATCTAATCCACAACATCCCATTCTATTTCTCAAAGATCCATTTTAATATTGTCCACCCACCTATGCCTTGTTCTTCCCAGTGTTCTCTTTCCTTCTGGCTTTCTCACCAACATTTATACTTGGAGAAGTGTACAAGTTATGAAGCTCCTCATTGTGCAGTCTTCTCCAATCTCCTGTCACTTCATCTCTCTTCGGTCCAAATATTCACGTCAGTACCCTGTTCTCAAACAACCTTAGTCTATGTCCCTCCCTTATTGTCAGAGACCAAGTTTCACACCCATACAAACCACAGGCAAAATTATAGTTTTGTATGTTCTAAATTTATGTTTTTGGACAGCAGATGAGTAGACAAAAGGTTCTGGACTCAATGTTAACAAGCATTACCTGAGTTCAGTCTCCTCTTAATTTTACTCCTGAATCAGGTGAACTCTGCCGCATTTTCAAAACATTTGTTTTCTATCTTTACGTCATGATTTTGCCCTGCATTTTGGTGACGAGACAGCAACATATACTTCGTTTTCTCAGTGTTTACTTCTAGACCAACCCCTTTACTCTCGTCAATTAAAGTTTCTGTGTCTTTCTTTAGACCACCCAGTAGATTCATATCAACAGCATAGGCCAATAGCTGACGTGTTCAATTTAATTTCAGTCCCATCTGGTTTTTCTGGACGTTGCTGATGGCATATTCTAAAGCAAATTTGAAAAAGAGTGGCCATAAAGCATCTTCTTGTTTTAGATCATTCTGGGTGGGAAAATTGTCAGACAACTGTCTACCTATACGGACTTTACTATACGTTTTGTTTAAACGTATTTTAATCAGCCCTAACTTGTTTCATGTATACCCCAAATTCTATCTATACTTCCTTCGTAACTGAACCAAAGGCTTTCTTGAAGCGTACGAATAACCGATGTACTGTCTCATTGTACTCCAATTTTTTCTCCATTATCTGGGCACGCGGTAGCGTAGTTGGTTCAGGCACCATGCTACAAGCCGAGAGGTCGCGGGATCGAACCCCATGAGATGGATTTTTTCAATTTACGTAATTCTAACAGCCGCACTATGGTCCTGGGTTCGACTCAGCCTCTAACAGAAATGAGTATCAGGAATTTTCTTCGAATATTCTTCAGGGTAAAGGGTGGTCGGAGCGTAGGGCGGAAACCCTTAACCCCATTTATGAGCCAATTGTCTAGATAATTTGGGAACCTCAAAATCTCACAACCCTATGGGCCTCCACGGCCTGTTACAGGGATACCTTTACTTTTACTTTTATATGACGCATGGAAATGTTCTGATCAGTAGTTAATATCTTCCGTTGAAAACTAATTGCAATACTAAGCAATCATTTTGTGGATGTAGCCACCTGAACACGCTGGATCATCGCTCGCGGATTTCTTCTTTTTTCTTCTACCTTGAAGATGGAGGCGATATGTTCCTCCTGAACGTCGGTTTATGCAATATCTATAAGGTGCCACATCCCAAAAAGAAGGCATTGTTTTTGTACAGAATTTGTTTAAATGTGCTGTGTGAATTAAATATTGTAATGATAATTAATTTTGGCACCTATTCCACCTTCCAGTGGTGTGCCAATTACAGATCAAAATATCAGCAGACACACTCCTTCCTTATTAATAATCAGGCAAGGCATAACGTGAGTGCAAAATATTTTCTCCACGTTCAGCTGCTCCAGATTTTGACAGTGTTGCTGACGCTGTACAGACGGGTGACACCTCCCATCCTCCGTCGCCCTAACCCGCTTTCACTTCCTCTCCTGCGGCGCTCTCCTCCTTTCGCCATTTAGCGCAAACCAAGGCACACTCCTCGAATGGGATTAGGACAT